TATACATATCATTTAAAAAATTAATTAATTAATATTGAAACTGAATAAGCGATTTTGAATATTTGATAGAATTATTTGATCCAACCGCTCGCTCTAGTTTCAGATGAAAGCAGTTGGCTAACTCAGCCAATACCTTAAGATTTAAAGCGTTGAGTTTAATGTGCTGGCTTAGGTTTATTTTCCTTCATTTGTGGTAAAATATTCGATAAAGTCTGCTTTCTGTAGCGCTGTTTCAGGTTAAAGATAACAACATGGTCCATTGGCTGTAATACGTAGATTGCCTTTTATATTTCCGAATTTGGCAGCCCTAGTGTTGAAATCTGGCAACTCACAACTTTATCGTAAAGTTTGATATTTTTGGTATTATACATACTCAGAACATTGTGACATACGAGCGCTATTTGTGTTGCTTACAGTAGCTTAAAAAATTCATCTCGACAAACAAATGGAATTAAATCGCGAACATTTTCAACCGATTAGTTTTTACTATTTCGACGTGGATTAACTCAGCAACAGTGTATCAATGAATTTAATTCATTTTTCGGCGATGTAGGTCCATGAAGGACCAGTATTTATCGATGATATGGTCGAGATCGTAGATCACTCCGAGACGTATTTAGAGTCGTCCAAAATAAGTTATTGTACCGGAAATTATTGATGTTGTGCGCAAACTGATATTGCAAGCTCATCATGTAATATAACGTGAGATAGAGACAACTATAATATTAGTGGGACCAGCATACATTCAATATTACATTAACATTTAACTGGGAAAAAAATATGCGAAATATTAAAAAAAAATATGATAGCAGTGCTTCGAAACACGTTCATGACCATGTGACAGGTGATAAATCGTCGATTTACGCGTATGAGCCTGAAAATAAACAGCAGTCGACTGCATGGGTGTTTCCAGTTGAACCGAATCCAACAAAAATTGTTCGCGCACGAAGCACTCTCAAGAAAATGGTTGCCTGTTTTGTCACCAACAAACCTCCAGAACAACGCAGAACAGTAAATTCTGTGTAGTATACAACCATTTGTTTGCCAGTTGTCTTACCAGAAATCGGGAACACCAACCGCCGAAGACGGATCACTCTTCACATCAACTGAAAGTTTGAGCACTCAAAACATCGATTTGATGAGTCACCCACCGAATAGTCCTAACATGGCACCGAACGACTTTTTTTTATTCCCGTACGTAAAAAATAAACTAAGAGGTCGAAGTTATTCGACACCTGAAGAGGCGGTTGCTGCGTTCTGAACGCACAACATACCTTGAAGATACCTCTATCAAAGTGGCAAAAGTGCTACGATGATTGATTCAAACGTATGCGAAAGTTTGTATTTTGAAAAACAAAAAAGCGATTTTCGATGAATATGGTAATATTAATCAAGTTTAAATTATTACACATATCACAGGTTTTTTGATTTCCCAATAACAAGTAATTCAAGCGTCCCTATCTTATTACAGTTCTAGTGATGACATTCTGTTTATTGATGTTTCAAGTTCTCCTGAGAAAATTTTTTGTTTGTTGTTTTGGTAAGAAAAAATCGACAAAAATTAATTTTTAGGAGATTGCATTAAAATTCGAAAGTGCAAAACAATTGTAGTAAAGAAAAATTCGCTATACCATACCGAAGATTGAATGAAAATGCAGTATTGTTAAATGCAGTATTATTAAAATAATTTTTAATAAGGAAAATTTCGTTGTACAGAAGTTCGTAATAGAGAATTTGGACTGCATGGTTAAGATTTTGAGTATTGTAGAAATATGTCTGCAATCAAATTTTCTAACATCATACCCATCAGGTTAGATCAAAATCCTTTCAAAAGTCCTGACCCTACATAATTCTAAAATTTACCTAGAGTATTCTTTCTCTATACCCTGAAGACAATACAATTATCAGTCTATTGAATATGATAAAAAACAAAAAAAAACTTCGGCTGCACCAAAGCTATACACTTCACATTTGCATTTCTTATAGCATAAAGGGTATTAAAAGCTATTTATCTTGATTATGATTAGTCAGTTTGTATAACAGCTATTTTCTATAGTGATCCGATCTAACAATATGTTTGGAGATTGCAGCGTTGTTTTGGACAATAATCAATGCCAAATTTCGAAAAGAGCTCATAAAAAGGTTTTACATACAACAACTTAATTTCGACTGCTTAATTTGTATGACAGCTACAGTGTCGGACAAAACTAAAGCACGAAGTTCACCTTGTACACATTCAGTTAAAAATAAAATTTTTTTATAAATACCATAATATTATATGCTTAAAACAAAAGTTTATCAAGCTGAACCTCTTTTTATTACAAATAAGATTTTGACATACAAAAATTTCGCATATGTGTATATTTTCTGCAACAAAACTAAAGCATTTAATTATATTACTTATTTCTTGACCCTAATTTCAACAAATCCCGTTAAAATTCCATCTGTAGTTAGAAACCGTTATTTGAAGAGCATTTTGAAGTAATTTTAATACAATTAGATTAGTCATTTGTGATCAACCGATGATGTTGCTTCGTCATAAAAAAAATATTTGTGAAATGGCGCATAATTTATTTTTTAATTCAGCACTATTTAGGGAAAACATTATTAACTAATATTTCGAAAAAGGTCACAATTAATCGCAGCATTGTCTAAAGAATTATAAGTCGTTTTCGTTCTTCGGGCTCCCTAACCACAATTCATGGAGGTGGCAGACCACGTAAAACTACTAACATGCAGAAACGCCAAAAAAAAGCCATACATTTCGCACAGAAATCGAAAAACGCGGCTTGAATTTGCAAAAGCTCACACTAACTGGAGTATTACAAAATGGAGGAGTGTACTTTTTTCAGATGAGTCCAAGTACAATATAAAAGGAACTGATGGATAAAAGCTGGTAAGAAGACCAAAAGGTCAACGTTTGAATCCACGTTATTCACAAGGAATTGTGAAGCATGGGGGAGGTAATGTAATGGTCTGGCGAAGTTTTTCAGGTCATGGAGTAGGTCCGATCCATCAAATCAATGGCATCATAGATCGTTTTATGTACAAAAACATCTTTCAAAACGTTATGGTTCCTCATGCTGACGAGAAAATGCCATTAAAATGGAATTACCAAAACGATAACGATCCCAAGCACACGGCCAAATGTGTAAAGGATTGGTTTATTTCCAATAATATAAAAGTTTTGAAATGGCCCGCGGAATCACCAGATCTTAACCCCATAGAGAATCTATCCAGACATTTTAAGCTATTTAATTGTGATGTGAAGCCGCCATAAAAAACAATGGATATGCCACCAAATATTAACAACAAATACTTATATTTTTTAACTATACCTATGTGATGTGCTTTAGTTTTGTCGTATCTATTTTATGTATATTGTTAATATTTAAGTCATATTTAAGTGTAAAATGAACTAATATGTTACGTTGTTTTGAATACATCAATAAAAATGTATATTTTTGTAAAATAAAATACAAAATATTAAGTTTATAACAGTAAATAAATTATATGCGGCTAAATGGGGATATGGTTAGTTTCGTGCTTTAGTTTTGTCCGACACTGTATATACTGCTACGTGTGAAAAATTTCTGATCGATATCTCAAAAACTGCTGGACATATGTATAGACGAATATGGCTAAATCGAATCAGCTTACCACGACACTAAACTGTTCAGAGTGACTATTAGTTATGTATGCCAACGAAGTAATAATAATATTATTTTTTTTTTTTTTGTTAAATTACAAACAATTACATTTTTCAAGAGTTCATTAGCAAACTCAAAAAATTCAAGCACAACGTAATGTCCTTCATTAACCCTCCAATCTATTATTCAGTTTTCCGACTCCGTCTCTTTCCTTCACGCTATCACACTCATTCACTTCACTGATGGTTATGTTCTATTTTCTCTTTTGACATATTCAATACCGTAAAATTAACTGCTCGTTGTTGGTGTTTTTGTTGCTCGTACTCATTGCCAATTGTTCTATTAATATGCCACATTTGCGCTTGCCACAATTTAACGATTTCCTCTAAACAGCAAATCAAAGATATCGAAAAAAAGAAGACAAACCAACAAGAAAATAAATATCAACAGAACACAGAACACAAAAGCAAAACGTTTTTCGTTTAAAACGTCGCTAATGCCAGCTGCTGTTGTTGTTGTTGCACGCCATAATGGCATTACACACACGAACACTTGCGATTGTCACGAGGCGCACAACTAAAACGCTTACAGCTTGTGGGGGGCAAGTCAATAAGCGACTCCATGAAAAGGCACAACTACAACAAATTGTATGCACACAACAAAACAACAAAGTAAAAAAGCAAAATGCCGACGCATGCGCCGTGCCAATGGCAGAACAGCAATTGGCCACTAGGCTCCGCCTCTATTGTTGCATGCGTGCCTGCTTGCCAACATAGGTTTGCATAGAGATGTGTGCTGTGTAAGAAATAGTAAGTGCCGTCTGTGCTGCCAAGTTTCTATAGAAATGTATAAAGCTTACAAGAAGAACCAGTTTTACGCTACTTACTCCGCTGCCGACTGTCGCATGTGCCGAAGTGCTTCATTGCCTTTTGAAACGGTATATGAAAAAGGGGCGGCGCTTATTGCAATGTGTTTTCTCGCTGTTGTTGTTGGTGCTGCTCTTAGTGTGTGGGCAATAATGTTCACAATAAAAGGTACTCATACACCTTTTTCGCGTGTTTGTTGCTGTTATTGCTCTCAGTAATATCACTATTACCGTAGGTTAGGGCGGAACGCCGAGTATTTACTTGCTAACGAGCTCGAGCAACTACAACAACGCAGAAAGGAAGCCGTAAAACTGGTATAACGAGCCGCTACTGGTGCCACCAACAACAATGACAACCGCACTATTCGCCGGTGCCTGGGGTGAGTTGTGTTGTGCACATGCTTGTGTTGGTGACTGCGCTCTACGTCGGCTGGCGGAGAATCAAAAAGCGGAACGTTTTATTATTACGCTGCTGCTGCTGCTCTGGTGCGGTTGCAATAATCGAGACTCGCGTGCGCCCGCACAAAATCATAACTATTTTCCCAACCGTTCAAGTTAATTTGCGCGCTGTTCACTGCTCGCCTACTCAACTCGTAATAACGGTTTCAGAACATACACGCTTACATTGTATGTATGTGTGCGTAGTCCGCGACATATTTGTGCAATTGGCGTTGACAGCGCTTTTTGTCAGCGCAAGCGATTGACACAAAACACATTCGCGGCTCATACACGCTCGGCTAGCTGTACGGCAATTTGACAAAACAGCTTACGTTCAAAAGCGTTTAAGCGCTTGCTGTGACGCGTACCGTTAAGAGCTGTGAACTAGTTGTCAAGTTTCGGCTAAATTAAGTGGCAATTTTGTGGAAAGACAAACAAAGCAAAAAACAAATGTGTGTGCAATTAAATAAAAAATAATAAAATTACTTACTTTAAAAGTATACGAAATACTCATAACAGTTCAAAAATTATTTGAAAAGAAGTTAAAATAAATCCTGCGACTATATATAAAAAGTGTAGTGTTTTGTGATTCCTTGGGTCTTTACTAAATTGGCGCCACAACACCTCATCATGTCATCAACACACGAGCACGAAGATGAGGAACGCGATGATGTGGAGGATGAACAAGAGATTCATGTTGATGTTGACTCGGATTCACGTATTTCCTGCGGCAGCGGCTCCGAAGTGGATATGGAAGGCGGCAGTTGCTATGATGAAATGGAAACGCCGCTAAGGTAGGACTTATCCCGTATCCATAGACCCTACAATCCTTATATTGAGTACTTATCTGTGAATCTCATTGGAAGATATACATATGTATGTAGGACACAATTGTGATGAATCTGTATATGATATATTCTAACTCCAAATCTGTAAACTCAAATGCGAATTTTTATAATTTAAATAAACACTCAGATAAAATCAGGTCTCAAGTTGGGAACTACGGTACTGTACAAATCTAGCAAGGAGTTCTGCAACAAAAAACGAATTAATCAATCATTGTTCTCAATAGAAAATGTGCTTCCGGGTAAGAAAACAACAAATAGCTATCGTAATAACGATAGTTTTCATAGCTCACAGTCTGAACCTGATTCTCAAAAAATAGAAACAGAACTTCTGCATATTTTAAATATTCAGTTCACGTTTTGACTCCTTTTTAACTAATATTATGACTTTATCTACTACTCGTTATATTTTTACGATATTTTATTTCGAATTATTAGATCATTAATCAGTGCTAGACTTCAACTTGAGAACTATATGCTAGGTAGATAGGTTGTAGGTTAGAAAATATTTTTTCGCTATGTCTGTACGTACAAATACTCATAAATTTTTCTGTATATGCTAATAATGATGGGAACATTCTTTATTTTAACATATTATCCTGAAAGGTAATAAGCAACACAAAAAAGATTTGGGAACTTCTGCAATAATAAAGAATACTGCAAAAATAAAATAAAACAAAAACGTACATATGTACATAAATGCGCAAAATTTTAATCGTCTGTCATCAGATATAATCTAACTATAGCCAAAATAATTTTTTTTTAATTAGAGTGCTATTTTATTATACATAGTTTTTACTTCTCCCTTAAGCCTATGAAACGTGATGTTATCTTATTTTTCATTTAGGGAAACGACATATATGTATGTATATCAACGGCAAATCACATTCAAGAGCTCCGAATTTAAGCTTATTGAGATAGAAAATCATGATCCAATTAGTTGCCTCAAAACCAACCGGATTATTATACGATGTATAATTATTCACATTTACACCTAGAAGATCTTAAATATGTTAAATCGAAACTAGAACTCAAATCACTTAATTATGTTAGTCAAACGCTTATAAATTGTTCAACAATTTGAAAAATGTAACAAATGTCTGTATAATTTGTAAATTTACTAACGAATTAGACAAATGCGAACAAAGCAAAATGCAATGGGTAAGAAAAATTAATAAGCTGTGAACATAGCGAGTGAGCAACAAAGCAAAACGAGCAAATTTTCTAGTTATGCCACATTAATGGCGACAAAGTGTTTTAACGGTACATAATGATTATAGTTATGACGGGTTCCGTTTCTTTAAAGTGAAGCGTGCAGTGAATCTTTTCAGACCCTGTGGTTGGTTAATTTGGTTGAGAAGAAACAAACAAGAGAGTAATAAGATTTTAGTTCTGAACTACATTTTAATGGGATGTCTGTTTAGATGGAGACAATTGTATGCTACATACATTAGGGCGAGCCATAAACTAGCCTATCGATTTCATGGGTTAAAATGACTTTTCACAAGTTTTAAATATACGAATTTTGGAATTGCAGAAAAGTTCCACTGTAATTTATTTTTTAAAATAATTTATACTTAAACTTTGAAGGCTCACCGACATCTTTTAAAATTAGGCTAAGAGTTTTTCCCTGCAGGGATACTTATTTGTCTATATATTGGTTCACTTTAATTCATGAATTCGAAAGGTTAGTTTTCGGCTCATCTGAACGTAGATACATGAGTATGTACATTAGGGTGTGCCAAAAACGAATATCTTTCTTTCGCTTGGTATTCTGAAAAATATGTTTTTAGACTCTACGAAAATCTCTGCAATTATAAGTTCTTGATTGTAACGGGTAGGTGACGTTATCTCGATTCATAGATTTTATAGAAAATTTAATTTTTAATTTTATTTGTTTCTTTCAATTTTTTCGTAAACCTAACCTAACAAAAAAGTTTGTAAAGCAGTAAATATCTTACAAATTAGTGAGATTTGCAATATAAAAAAAAAAATTTTTACTGAGTTATAAAATTCATACCAAACAAATTTTTGGTTTAAAATAATCAAACTTCAACCGTTAATATCTTTTTAATGTTTAGTTTTACGAAAAAATCGTAGGAGACTATTTTGTAAAGTATTCAATTTCTTACAAATTCTATCAGAGATATATTTTTTCAAAGGGTTGGAAGCGAGATATGAATTTTTCTATCTGATAATAATAAAAAAATAAAATAGAAAATTGTAAGGAGGACCATCGCGTTATAAGCCCCACCCTTATGTACATATTTCCATATTAAAGAACTATTTCATACGGGTGGTGTGACAGCATTCATCAAAATATATATAATTATATTATACAACTTGATATGCAAGTATTTTGTAAGATATGAAAGGTTTCTTATAATCTTTATGTTGAAACTATGATTAAAAAATATATATACAGGCATTCAAATATTACTATGACAAACAGGTTCAATTTTTTAATAAAAGTAAATAGTACTAAAGTCTTTCTTATCTAAAAAAAAACTATTATCGTTCCTCACATGTAAGAAGCAAAAGTGTTTCCAAATTTTCCTATTCCGAATTAATAGCCTAGATTGACTTTGGTATTTTTATAGTTTTAAATTGCTTTAAAATATATTTTACTTATGTCAAATCAGGCAGAAATTACGGAAAAGCAAAATAAAAATGTTTTCTTTAATTTTCTAAATTTTATATTGATATTTGGAACATTATTCCTAACAAACATTCACACAGTTAAGTTTTTTACTTCACAAATCGAAAATTTTTCTATCATCAAGTCCAACTGACAAAATATGAATAGTATTATTAACTAAAAAAAAAGAAAAGTTACAGATAATTAAGGTTCATTTATCTCATTGGCGTTCCAAAACAGTTGTTCAAATACTTCTTATTTATAGTTTTATTTTTGTGAAATACTTTCATTACCATTTCCATGTCTCGATTCCCGATTTAGATGCATGCTCTTTTCGGCTACGTCATTCAAAATAATAAATTGAGTACTTAAAACTTTGGTGAGATATCACCCCTACTAATACTTCAACAAAAAAGGTTCTTAGAAGTTATATATTGACATCTGGGGCTTATAGTTCTTTTTCATAACTTTTTTTTATAATTAAGTCACTAAGCTAAGTGGGCGGTTATATCTATTTCACGTAAAACATGAAAATCTCAGCAGTAATATTATTTTTCATTTGTGAAACCAAATTATATATAAATTATATATATATAAAAGACATTGTCAATTTAATTTTAGCAAGATAAGAGCTTGTGAAATCACAAATTGGCGTCAAGAGCAAAGCAAAATATGAGAAAATCGTGACCACTTAAGCTAAACGATGCGTGTTTGGCATTCTCCACGTATGGAAATGGAGTTAAAATATCAGGGCCGGATTTACTGACAGTAAAGGCCCATTCACCTACAACTTTGCACGCTTTGCATAACAGTCCATACTGAAACAACGAAGTGCAGAAATCAAAGGATATGCCACAATAAACGCTTTGCTTGCAGTGTTTCTCTCTAATAAAAATGGCGAATGTTGCTTGGCAAAGCGTAAAAAGATGAGAGTTGCCCAACATTTTGCTTAGCTGCGCATCGAAAACTTTTTCAGTGAACGTACTCATACAATATCGTACATCGAACTTTTCTCGAAAGTCGAAACAAATGTCTCATGCAAAGCGAAACAAAGTTTTGTGCGAATTGGCCATAAGGGGCCGCTTTGAAACAACTTTTCTGTACAAATACTGTTGATATTTGTTTCTTAAATGGTATTGGTTACTTCTGTATATGAATCTATGTAACATATATAGATTTTATTTAAAAATTAATTAAAAAGAAATCAAGTCAGCACGTAGTACGTATGTCACTGAACAACAATCACAAAAAACGTAATTTTTTTGAATAACTTTTCTTGATATACCTATTATAAAAATTTATATTATATGAAATAATTATTATTATTTCTTTTTGCCAATCAACTCCTTAACGACCTTTTACCGCCCCTTAAGTATTGTCGGCCCATTTGACTGTAGTACAAGCAACTCCTTCCCCGTTGTGCACCGAATACACAAATTGAACTACCTTGTTACCCAACATATATCTTAGTATACAAATTTATATATAAGCAACATATACAAGTATATACATACACATGTACATAAATATGTATGTCCCCCATTTATAATGAGTGTACATATTTGATTTCCATTTTAAATTAATGAGTTTTACAAAGTGTCACTGATAACAACACGAATATGAAAGGTAGTTTAATCCAATAGACTGCAGCGCGCTGCAAACGTGAATACGCGGAATACTCGCATTTATTAATTAAGAATCGAAAGGAGACTGGGAGCCCACGCAAGGCACGACATAGCGCCGTTTTCGATTAGGCATGCGAATGACGGTGGACAACAATGTCAACAGCAAGCAGTCAGCAATCAGCAGTCGTATTAGCAATCGTTGGCAACGCCAATGGTATTCACAACAAAAATCACAACAACAACCGCCCAAAATCAATCGAATAATGCTGGTGCGAAACATGAACATGAAAACGCGCGTTTAAAAGCAAATATTCGTGTGAATTTTGAGATTGTCCAGCAGCCAGTGACGGACTTAATACAAATATAACAGCAACCAAAGAGTGTGCGTGACTGTGTAAATGCGACAAGTTTTTGCGTAAAAAATCTGTTTACGCTAAAATGCTAAAATTTCTTTGTTTTTGCAAATTGTGTTAAAATTTTGAGACTTGAAGAGGCGTGACGTCATTGAATGACACTTTTTGCACCTTTTTTAGTTAACGACTTTTTCCTGTGCGTGTAGGGCTTTACATGAAGTGAGATTACGATGCACGTCTTGATATATTGCAGAGTCCATAACTTGAAATATGAAAAATGTAAGCAATTTATCTTATTATTGGATACTTCAGCCATGCGTAAGAGAGTTTTTATGAAAATATTGCTTAGAGGGGTTGCTGAACAATCCTCATGATGGTTAACTCTTCTTAAAATCAATTGTGAACGAACTTCCAGTTAACTAGTTTTTCAAGAGGTAAACAGAAAGTATTGTGATGCTGCCACTACTAAGCATTCTCTAAAAATGAAAAGCTCCTTTGAAAAATGCCACCAAATAAATACAAATGAGAAGGAAATTTTATACAAAAGGGTGAGGGTATGTAAAGAAAACTCAATCTATGGCAACTAAATAATAGAGGATGTTTAAGTAAACAAAAACAGATGCTCAAGTTACCCCACCGCCATCATATTTACCGTATTCCTATCTCGGTTACTTTTCTGTCTAATTTCGTTCGCACTTTGTGCAATGCATAACCTCGAAAGTTATATAAGATATGAAAAATATTCGTATAAAAAATCCTAGTTAAGCTATTGCATTTTTTAACACGATCACAAAGTATGCGCAAAATGTAGGCGTATTTTCGCATATCTCAAGCGGAACAAATCAATTAAAGAGCAGGGTGATTCAAAAATAATAATATGTATGGCAAAAAAAATATAGAATTTAATAAAAATTTCATTATTTAAAAATTTATTTTTCAATATTCGGAGTCATAATATTAGTAACATTATTATTACTTTGGCAAATACAATAACTACCCCACCTTCTGGAACAGTATCTCGTTTGACTTGAACAATACAATTGAAATTAGGTATTTCAATCGGATTAACAATGGTAATAAATTAACAGTTATCTTGGCTGACGATTTCAACATCAACTTCGCTAATAAAATATCAGAGCGGTTGACAACTTTTCTTTCGTAAAATTTTAATTTGAAAATGAATAATGAACCCCAAGAATCCACAACATAATTTTCCAGATATTTAGAGGATATCAAGACACAAACTTATGTTTCTTATTTAAGTTACCATAAACCTATATTTTCAATGATAAAAATACCTGAATTACCTACTTGATTGCAAGATAATAAAAATATGTTAAACAATATTAACTTCTCATTTATTCAATAAAAGAAACAAAGTTGTTTTCTAATCGATCACCACACTCAAAAAGTGTAACTGGAATTAATATCAAAGAAAAACTTGAATTAATATCAAATAAAAAAAGACTGCATAAAAAATAAATAAATAATTATAATTGGATAAGTTACTAAAAAAATGTTATGCAATAGTTTTACCGCGGCAGTGCCCGAGTGCCACACGTACTTTATTTTATATTAATAAAAAAATTATTATCAATATTATTACTATATTATAGATACAAATTTTCCGTTGACATTGCAAACAATCTGTAAACTTGATTTCATTCCTAATTTCAGTGAATCCGTGCAGTCGGAGCAAACGCGCTCATCGTCTAGTGAGAATTTACCCTTTAGCATATCACGCCTGCTGTCGAAACCCTTCGAAAACAACAATAAACAAAGTCCTGAAAAAGACATACAGAGTGAACATGATTTAGCTGCGTACAAGTTGGCCACAAGCATAGCCACATCGACGTATGGCGGCGCCACCGCACTCTATACATATCCGCATTTATATCCCACCGCAGCTGCGGCGGCTGCTGCCGGACATGTACTGCGTGTACCGCCGCAACGTACACCGTTAACCTGGGCGCTGCCGCCTTTGCATCACGCCGCTTTGGCGCATCAAGCGGTCAAGGACAGATTGGCAGGTGAGTTGGTCTAAATAAAAAACAACAAAAAGTAATATATTATTACACTATATAATAACAAAAAATGGAAAAACAACCAAAAACATGAGTACTAACAAAAGAGCTTCCGTTTAACTACTGTCGCTGCCGCTGCTTTACACAAAAGTTTAGTGTATCTGAATTTTTCTCAATTTAACGATCCATCAAAATCGTCGGCAGCATTGGCCGTTTTGTACTCGTCAAACTTGTTGGGCGGCAGAACGTTGTAAGCGCTGTGGGGCATCTACTAAAATCGCCATTTATGGATTGGTCATGTTGTCGTTAATCGGAATTGTGTCAAAATCATAAGAGGGTTAGTGATGTGCACAGTGGTAGTAGAGAATGCAGTTCATTAAAACATCAGCGGCGGACGTAAAAAAAAACTGTTCAAGAAAACCGATTTTGGGGATCAACCCTCAAAAAACATTTTCATACTTTATAACTTGTTTTTCATATCTCAAAAAGTTTTACCTTTAAAAGTAACTAAGTAAAATTTTTAAACGATATCTCAAATAGTCTTTGAGTTACAGCCTTCAGAAGTGTAGCCGCTCAGTTCAAACAGCTCCATCAGTTAATCTTTAAACGCGATTTTCCAATTGACTTGTGAGATGATCCGATTGCTAACAAATTTTTTCTGATATTCTGTATGTACCATAGTTCTCCATACAAGAACTTAGCATTGTTTTGATCAGAAATAGATTTTTGGCAGGGGAAAAACGACCAAAATTAGGAGTAAAATTAAATTTTTTGTTTAAAACAAACGACGCCAATATGTAAAATTTTATTTTTTTAGACCGCGCGTTATTGTAGGGACAATAACTTCTAGTAGACAAATTTTTGGTTTTAGGTTTCATCCGCGAAGATAGTTGGAAACGCTGCATCAGTGGAGGACATTATTTGTGTAATTCAAAAAATATTTACTTTGTATTCTTCAAAAATGTTACTATGTATTTTTAAAATATGTGTAAATATACCCTTAACAATTGATGCAGTAGTTTTTGTTTAATTCCCAAAAATCACATTTATTTAGGGGGGCACACATATTTTCGAATAAAGTTGCCATCTATTCAAAACGACGGAATTTGACAATATTAAAAAATGTGTTCCACAAACGATTTTAAGGAGTTAGGCCAGTCTAGAGCTCTTATAGAATGTTTATGTTTGGCAATTTATTCTGTGAGTAAAGGAAAAAAAATCGAGTTTCTCTTTTCTTGGCTTTATTAAACATGCTTTCGAGTCTTTATCACTTTTTCAAGAAAACCGCGACTGGTTCGTGGATTATAGGATTTCGTGCTACCTGAAACGAAATAAATAACGTAATTTTAATATACATAAGACTTGCTAAAACGCACCTACATATGTTTCTTGTTTTACATCAATTTCTATCAAAATCGACGACTTATTCATAAAAGTAAAATTCAATTTCGACAAAAACCCATTTAAAGTGCTGAAATTTACTAATCCAAACACTTCGACACTCGAGTGAATTGGAACAAGTATCTTTTCTATCAGTTTGATAATGTTTATGTGTAGAACTCTAAAGTTTACTTTAAGCCAAAAAAAATTAAAATATTTTGTAAATCGTTGACTGGACTAATCTCATAGAAACCCTGGGCATGCCTTGGCACAATGAAAACTGTATCGCTGTACACTATAGTACAAAGCTAGTTCGTTTATGACCCAGTTAGAATTGTTTTAATTTTTTAATTTCCATAATTCAACAAGTAAGGAAGGGCTAAGTTCGGGTGTAGACGAACATTTCATACTCTTGCAATTTGTAAGGAACAAAAGCCTTCAGGTTTTGGCAAAATTTTATACATATCAAACTAAGGAAAGAGGATACACTGTTATTAGAAAAAGTTAATTTTTGAATTTTATTAAGATATACAGATACATTTTGAGCGATATATGCCGTTGGTTGAAATCAGTCGAGTTCCTGAGATATAGAATTTCATCTAGAGATGGGCGCGGCAACGCACTTTGTGCAATTTAACACCAGATCCATAAAAAAACCCTTCTCTACCATCCTGGTTTTGAAATTTAATGCTTGTGGCTCATTTATTCAGTGAGTTTTAGTACTTTAAGTAGTTTTCAAAATAACAGTTATATAGTGAGTGGGCGTGGTTATTATCCGATTTTACCTATTTTCACAGAGTTTGAAGAGGTGATGAAATAACTTCTTCTCAGCAAGTTAGGTTGAAACATCAAAATCGAATTGAAAGATATGTACATCAAACCATTTAGGGAGCGGAGCCACGTCCACTTTTAAAATTTTTTAGCCCACAGGTGTCCCTAGCTACCGCGATCTCCTGTTTCATATTAAAGTTATGGGAGTTTAACAGTTTTCGTTTAAAAGCTTTTTTTGGGCGTAGCAATGGTCCGATTTCGCCCATTTGAAATACCAACCTCTTTTAGTTGCCAAGGAATATGTATACGAAGTTTCATCAATATCAATAATTATCTCAATTTTTACTCAAATTATCGCTTGCACGGACACACGGACGGACGGACAGACAGTCACCCGGATTTCAACCAGTGCCGTCATCCTGATCATTTATATATTATATAATATATGTACATATAACCTTATATCTACATATCTCGATTAGTTTTAGGTGATACAAATAACCGTTAGGTAAACAAAACTATTATACTCTGTAGCAACATGTTGCAAGAGTATTAAAATATCCACAAATTTAATTTGGTTTTTGTCCAGAAAACGACTGCCATGTCAGTTAGTATTTGAACAAAATCTACCAAAACCGTTCAGCTGAAGTGCCTCCAAAAAGTAAATATGAGTATATCCTACTTTAAAACATATATGCATTCATCCTACGGCCCACATTTTAAATACCTTGCATGAGTGCTGTAAAGACGTCAACATTAATCACAGCAGTCCTCACTCAAGCGGAACCCATTGGCCGGATTCCGGCTTATCAGTGCTGTGGCGTAAAAGCTTTTTCCGCGCGGAAGACCACCGGCTGGAATTTGACAAATGAATTGCATTCAATTATCGCATTACAAAGCATCAATGAGGCTGGTTTGAGTGGTGAAGCTGCGGCACAGTAGCCTACAAAGTTGTCATAGAGAAGTCATCTAAAAAGAACTCTGCAAACTATTGATTTCACTTTCCATACTAATGCACTTTGCTGACAATAATAGGTGTGTCTGTGTTTATGCCACTCTTAAAAATCGCATCGCTTGCAACGCAATATCATGTGCTACAACTGAGCTATTGTAGAAAGTGTATGAAATATAGCACACCGAGTTGCTAAAACAGCAATAACAAACGTTTTCAACACAATAATAATAACAATTATAGAGGGAGTAGCAGAAGAAATCACTAAAAATGGCAAAAAGCTACTGTTTTGAACAGCAATTTACCCGCAACAACAACATTCACACATATATGTATAACACATTGCCGCCCTCAGAGTCGCGCACAACAATAACAACAATGGATGAGCCAAAGCAGTAGCGTTAACATGATTGCCACAAAGCACGCACACTTCAAGAATGCGTGCCACATCGATCTTACAAACGAGTGTTGCAGTGAGCAGCAACAACAACGAAAATTTACACGCTACAAAACACACCAGCAACAACAGCAAAGTGCATGGCAAGTGTTTTGAAAAAGCATGTATGTTGCAGTTGCACGTTCGCGAATACACGCACTTGCGCATTTGGGCTGCCAAAAGGGGGCGGCGTGTTCGGCGTGGCATACTAAATGGTGGCAACGTGTCACATAGCTTCCAGCGGCACTCATGGGCATGCGCTGTGCCTGGACTCTTGAACCGATTATCATTGTTGCTACTGTTCTTACGGATGCTCAGACTTTGATGGAGGCGCGTGATCTGCTCGCATATATGCATATACATATATACTTATATATGTTGTTGTTGCTGTTGTTGTTTTTTAGTAGTTGCAAATTTAAATGGCTAAAGTATAAAAGCATGTTCGCCTTCAAACGTTCTCAACTACACATAGCACTATCACCCGTTGAGCTGCGATGCGTTCGCCGCCCAGAAGTACTTGCTGCCACACACCAGCACTTGCTACTTTAGGGAGACCTGTTGCTGCCTACATGAAGTGCCAATGATGCTAAAGATGATTATGCGCGTCAAGTATTCATTTTCGAGAATATCCGATTGCGTTTCCGTTGGTTGTAATGTTTCAGTGGGGCTCGAGGCAAGCTTGGCTTTTGCTAATTTGCTTACATTGTGCGCTTCATTCGTGTGTTTAGTGATCGTGTTTAATTCTGAGAAAAAGGGTGTTGTGTTTGGATCTCTTTAATGCCTTTATAGCATTTAAATTTAAGAAAATTATCAAGAATGCTTAGGAATATTTTATTAAGTAATATTTAAAACGTACTCATATCTGTAATGGATTCACCAAAACTTATAGGTTATGGCTATGCTTGAATACTTCTCTCGACATTTTAGTCATCATTTGTCGTTACACATGTCGAGCGGCTGCTATAAATTTTGGATCCTAAAATATATACGTGTGCCCCTAGTGCGACAGGCGATTATTCGAAATTAAAACAAACTGCTGCAAACATTTTTTCCAAAATTGTAGTTGTGTATGAGTAAATTTATATATAATACAATGCACAGTCGATTTTTTGAAGAAGAAAACTAAATAATTTTCGAGCTACACGCGTAGAAAAGGTCCTACACTGCTGCAATGATTTCGGTCTTCTCCAGTAAAAAATCTCTACTAGACGATATTTCCGTACAATGACCTACAATCGAAACAAATTCAAAAGTTTACAAAATGGCGATGTTTTTTTTACTCAAAATTTGGGTCGTTTTTGGACTGCCAAAACACTTATGCCAATTTGAATATTTGAGTTTTATGAAAAACACTTTTAAATATTAACCGTTGGAGCTGACTGAAATAAGCGGTTACACTTTAAAAAAGCACTATATGAGATATCGATTTAAAATTTTAGTATGTTTAATTTACAGGTATAACCTAGC